GATGGCCTTCCCCAGGTCCAGTGAAGTTTCGGGGGTCCTCATCCCGACCCCCCTTCGGTTTGAGCGAGGGAGAGCTCGAAGCACGCGATCCACAATCACACGTTCCGCTACCTGTTTCGCTGTGGGACTGCCCTCCAACAACCAGTGGTGTGCCAATCGTGTGAGTTCTGCTATCTGGGCACGGGCTGGTGCTCGGGGTTTATACTCCCATTCAAAGAAACCCTGGGCTGCACAGATTGAGGACAATCCCAACCGGCTCAGGATTTCTCTCTTTACATCTGAATACCTCTCTGCTGAGGCCGTAGGGAGAGAGAAGTAAGCACGTTGGGCCTCGCCGGTTAACAGGGGGGCCAACACCTGAGCCCAGTCCTCGGGTGGCCATCCTTCACGATGGGCTGTGTTTTCAAACATTTGCAGAAAAGCTTCCACGTCATCGTAAGGAGTGAGCTTTGGCAGTATTTTTGTGGCCTGGGCACGGGGGTCTGGTAGCGGAATGCTTTGGGCGGCAGCGGCATGGAAGGCAGCGAGTTCCTGCTCAGTATTGCCCTGGCGTGTGGCAAGGTGCTCCACAATTTGTTGTTGGCGGATGCTAACCTCAGTGAGCCGTTGGAGAATCTCTTCCATACTGGGAGGGGACCGGGGGCCGTTCACCTGAAGATTATAGAGAAAAGCAACCAAAATAAATAAATATAATTCTAAATAAATAAATTGTAGGAGCCACACTAATGAATCACCAAAACTGGAAAAAAAAAAAAAAAAAATTTTTTTTTTTTTTTTTTTTTTTTTTTTTTTTAAATACTCCTAATAATAATTATGGTGTGGGGTAGGAGATCACTTATCTGTGATTCTTCTCTGTAATTGCCAGCATTCTCCACCAGATGTCACGGGGAGAAGAATCACACAACAAGTGAGAGCTCATATAAGTGCCCCGGAGGGCGGTTTATTTACAAAAGGTTCTTCCAGTGGTGAATTTAGGTTGGTGGCTTGTGTGCTCTTTGTGCTCCTTTCCCAGTGTGACAGTGGATTATTGAGGTGCCTCTGTGGTTCCGGCAGGTTCTCAGCTGCTGTCTGGGAAAATAGAGAGAGAGCGAGTTAGTGCTTGTTCTCCTGGAGAGACTTCTCCCCGTTCTGCTGTGTTGCTGCAGTTTAAATGCAAGCCGGCTGATGGGCTGCAGCTGGGGCCGATCAGTCTGAGTTGAGGGCTTGCAGGTGTTTCTCCTTATTTCCTGGGCGACGCT